TAAGTTTGTTGAGGCATTTCATTGTATCTGATTATAGAATCTAGATTGTCAAGTGAAATTTGCCTCTAAGCACTTCACATTTAGTTTGTAACTCCTTTTTCCTTTCCTGATGTTGGGTCCTTCAACTTAAATCAATGTGCATATATTAGATATGCTTTATAAAGTCAATGAACATACATAGAATTTATTTATATATTCTTAATATATTACCAGCACTTAATATATTTAGCACACTTTAATGGTAGCAAAGAATTGGAAAGAAAGGGGTAGTACCCATTGATTGGGAAATGGCCAAACAAATCATAGTATGTGAATATAACAAAATACTATTGTGCTATAAAAAAAATAATGAAAATGAAGATTCAAAGAACTGTGTGAAAGACTACAGCATGAAGATAGCACAACTAGGAGAATAGTTTACACAGTGGTAACATAAAGGAAAACAAATTTGAAAGACATCAATAAAATTTATGACTTCAAAGATTGATGGTAAGATGTCTCATCACAGAGACATTTTGAGTGTAGAAAGATGCATATATTGTCAGTGTGTTGGTTTGTGTTTCTTTGCTGTGCTTCTTTGCCACGAGAGAGTTTTATTGGTGGAGAGATAGGCATGGGGAAGTAAAAGTGATGTAAAAAAAAGGAATCAGTAAATCTTCATTTACCAAATCCATTGTTTCTTCCTAAAAAGAGTCTTAGACCTTGCTGTAACTAAATATCTATGCTCAGATCTTAACAACAGTATAAATGATTCACTGACATGAGTGAACTTCATATCGTTCAAGTATAAACGTTCCTATAAATAATGCAGTGGGATGTCATGTTCGGTCCTCCCTTGGTTTCTGTGACAATGTATTTTCCTCCTACCTCTTTCATCATTCCCTTGTTTTCTTCACTGGCTCTTTCCTGGCCTTTTCATGTTAGTTCTCAACACCTTGATCATGTGATGTTTGATCATTGCTTGAATTATCATGAATGACTCCCCGATCTATGCCTCTAAACTTATCCTTACTCCTAAACTCTAAATAGATTTTTTTTCCAACTGTCTCCTATCTGTAGAGGTATGTCTCACCAGTCACTCATTCATTCATGTCCAAAACTAAATTTATTTTTCTCCAAAAATGTATTCCTCTTTATGACTTTCATATTTCTAATTATGGCACCATTTGTTTAGTTATCACATGTTCAAAATATTGGGATTTACCTTTGATTCTTTCTTCTTCCTTATTGGCCATATCTCAGATAACAAAGTGTTAAAACAGTCAATGATTCCATTCTAACACACAGTATTTGTCTGTTCAGTATGACTTTAAGAATTGTAGTATAAATACAACTCAAAAAGTTGTACCTGACTATAGTAATATCTGGTTTTTTATTATTTTGCTACTGAAAATCTTTGAGATCTAAGAATGTGTCAAAGAAACTTCAGCAGAACTTACTCAGAAAAGTAAAACAGTGACACCTCAAGAAAGACTCATGTCCCCCAGCTTACTCAGTGATATTTACTTTTTCTCATTTATTTTTACAAGCATTTGTAAATATTTCAGTGGTAATTTATGGGCTAGCAAAAATGTCATAGCCACTTTAGTTAAGGCCGAAGTTTTTATTTCTATTTTTTGAGGTTCAGTTGTTGCAGTCATTTCCAACTCTTTATGACCCCATTTGGGATTTTCTTTGCAAAGATACTAGAGTGGTTTGCCATTTCTTTCTCCAGATCATTTTACAGATGAGGAAACTGAGGCAAATAGGGTTAAGAGAGTTGCCCAGGGTCGTTTAGCTAGTAAGTATCTGAGGCCAGATTTGAACTCAGGTCTAGAGAAGGAAATGGCAAACCACTCTTTGTCTTTGCCTTCCTGACTATGGGGTTGGCCCTCTATCTACTGTGCCGTGCTCTTATTGTTCAATGTATAAGACATGTCAAACTGATAACTCCTTAAAGAAAATAAAAGTAGATCTAGTGTTAGTCCAGTTTTTTCACAGATAAAAAAAAATTAGTCTCTAACAAAAATTAATAATAGAAAAATTGGTGGAAGATTTGATTAAATGAATGGAATCAATGGGAAACAAACTCTCAAGCTAGAAGCAAATCACAAGAACATGAAGCAAAACAAATATAACTCAACTATTGAAAAAATTTAACCTGACAAGCCAAGATTACAGAACAAGAAGATAAGATGTAATCTGAGAGTTATCAGATTACCAAAAAATTCCAATGAAGCAAAAGTCTAAGCACTGGTTTTTTGGTTTGTTTTGTTTTGTTTCCAGAAAATCACTCAAGAACTTTCCCAGAAATAGTGAGATTTAGGAACAAACTAAAGATCAATATAAGCTACTACATGCCGTCAGAAAGAAATGTCATATTCAAATTTCCCAGACACATTCCAGAGCTTTTTCAATGTTATCTATAGAAACTCAAGAAAAGCATTGTATCGTTATGACGAAGATTATACTCACACATGACATAGAAAACCCCCCACAAATTTAATAATTGTTACTGACTGTCATATGATTGAAATTCACCACATATTGCAGAAAGGATTTTAAAGAATACAACATTCAATATTATATTGGCTATAGAAAATATACCCAAGACAAAAAGACACTTATAGTTTTTAAAATGAGAGGCTGGGGGAAAAAATTTTAACATGCATCAGCCACCTCTTGAAAATTTAGAGTTGCAGTCATAATTTTGAATAAAGCTTAAGTGAAATTTTACATCATTGAGAAATAAACATGGAAAATATCATGATTAAGGAACCATTAACAGCAAAAAATATATATCATTCTAAATATGCAACTAATGACAGAATAACATTTTCAAAGGAAAAATTAACTAAATTACCAAAGGATCTAAATAGAAAAACACTAAGCAGATGTCAAGGCTCTTTGTGACCCCCTTATGAAGTTTTCTTGGCAAAGACACTGAAGTGGTTTGCCATTTCCTTCTCCAGTGAATTAAAGTACAGAAAGGTTAAGTTACTTACCCAGGATCACATAGCTTGTAAGTTTCAGAGGCTGCATTTGAACTCAGGTCTTGCTGACTTTAGTCCCAGGGCTCTATCTACTGAGCAACCTAATTGCCCGTATATAGAATACAGTAAGTCAAACAAAAATGTAAATAAAAAAGAAGTTACTGAAAAATGTAAAGAAAACAATCCTAGAAATACAGATTTGATAACTATAGGAAGAGAATTAAATTGACTTTTCATTCAAATGTGAATAGTACAATAAAATTATCTGCATTTTAAGGCATAGAGAACTTATAAACAAACATAGAAAACTAGATATTTCAGTCTATAAAGGAAATGTGATTTTTAAAACAATGAAGACCAAAAGGCAGACTAAAAAAGATTCCTTCAGAATAATTGAGTTAATAAAAAAGATACAATAAAATTATATTAAAGATAATGACAGTAGTACATTGCAAAAATGTATGGGATTCAGCTAAAGTAGTTCTTAAAGAGAATATTATTTCCCTGATTGCTTTTATTAAGAAGAGAGAAGAAAAAAAGATTAAGCTAAATGTGCAGCTTAAAAAAACTTCAAACTAACAAATTAATATATCAAAAATAAGTTCAAAGAAAAAATTCCTAAAATCAAAGGACAAATTAATAGTGCTGAAAGCAAAAACAATTAATAAATACTTAATAAGCAAAACATGAGGGGTATGGATTTTTAAGCCCTATAAAATTTATAAACCATTAACTCATCTAACCAGAAAGAAAGAGGAAAATCATAAATATGACAGCAGCAACAAAAATAAAAACGATGATAATAAGCCATATTATTTTATTAGTAAATAAAGAAAAGGCCCTTGGTACAATACGACACCTTTTTATTTCAAGAACATTAAAAAGAATAAGGGTAGAATAATTTTCCCTTAAAAACAAGAGAAAGCATTTGTCTTCTTTTGCACCCAAGAACCAGTGTTATATATAATGAGAAAATTTTAGCACTTTTCCAGCTCAGAACAGGGATTAAAAATGTTGATTAAGCACATAGAAGTGAATTGCTTTAACCTTTTGGGGATGAAATACCTAATTATGGAAAAAAGTAACAAAAATATGTGTAGCCTTGGACACAATAGTCCCAGTACTAGAACTTTGCCCCAGGGATATTAGTAGGGGGAAGAGGGGGACAGACAAAACCTTTCATTTCAGAATCATTCCTAATAGTACTATTTGTTATATAAATAATTTTTGGTGAGGCAATCAGGGTTAAGTGACTTGCTCAGGGTCACACAGCTAGTAGGTATCAAGTGTCTGAGGCTGGATTTGAACTCAGGTCCTCCTGACTCCAAGGCCAGAACCCTATCCACTGCGCTACCTAGCTGCCACTATTTGTTATATTTCTTAAAAATTGATTGAGGAAATAGCTGGAAATTATGTTACATGAATGTAATGTACTACAAGAAATTTGAAGAATTTGAAGAATTCAGATAAAAATAAGATTTATGTGTTGCAAAGAATCTAGAACTAAAAGGATATGCATATTCATTGCAGCTATCTAGTTAAAGATAATGATAGCAATAAATCTAGAGTGTGTGTGTGTGTGTGTGTGTGTGTGTGTGTGTGTGTGTGTGTAGTAAAGGAGGTCAAAAAGGATCATGAAAACAGGGAAGTGTGTAGGTACTATGTTCAAGTCAATACACACACACACACACAGACGCTTTCACACACACATACATCTTTACTGGTAGTATTAGCAGTTCTAGAATTTCTAAATTTGAAGGGGCCAAATTGACCTTCTAGTCCAACTCATAACTGAAAAAAATAATTCCCTCTATGATATACCTTCAAGTGGTTGTCTGAGGAGGAGGTGAAGAAGCTATGGAAGAGGTGGCCCAAGAGAAAATGTGACTTTCTTTGGTATAGTGTCTACTGTTCTATCTAGCACCATACTCAGGATCCTAGTAAATACTTTTTGAGGAGGAAGAGAATTTTTGCCTTCATGCACTATTTTTTTTTCAATCTGCTGTTTTCTGTTTTTATTATTTTAAGGGCAGTGGGACTTTTTAGTCTGATTGATAGCTTGTGGCCTCCATTGATGCCTTTGAAAATTCCTGGCCAAAGTCAAGACTGTGCAGAGGTAAGTCCAAATAAACCTTGGGTTCTCCTGAATAAATAGTCGGTTCTCCTTCCATGATAAAAGATCAAGGGCCAACATGTTTAATACTACTTCATAGATCTCCCCATTCCTGTGTTAGGCCATGTAAGTAGAAATGGGTTTCTGATCTCTAAATCAGTAACATCCAAACATTTAGGGGTTTTTTTTTTCATCATATCTCCTTTCCCCACCAAACTATAAATACATTCTAAACTCATTTGAGGTATATTTTAAAATAAATCATCACTACAACCAAAAAGCAAAAGATACCAAAATCCACCAGAGACCCTTTTGTTACAATTTAAAATCTTAGTTTTTGCCCTGACCTCCTAAATACTTCCCATCGATCTCCTCTGCAAACTCTCAAAAAAGGTAGGGCTTATCTTTCTCCATTGCTTATCAAAATGTTTTCTCTCTATTTCTATTAAAACAAGGCATTCCCAAAGTACATCTTTATTACCTGTGTGACCATGAGACAAGGTACTTGGCCTCTCAGTTCCTCAGTTTACTAATCAGTAAAGTAGGGCTAATAATACTTGTACTACCTACATGACATTATTGTTATCAGGGAAATGCTTCATATACCTTAAAGCCCTACATAATAAACTATTATTATTCTCTGCTTTACATTTACTTATAGAACCAACTCTCAATTATCCATAAGAGAGAAGGGAGGGAAGGAGGGAGGGACAAAAACACTGATAAACGAAATCCACTAATAAGCAAAATCTTCAGTTTAACCAATAGTTTATGCTCCGTTTCCTACCAAATCATTTCCTGGAGCTGTTAACAGGTGGCTGTTTTTTGTTTGTTTGTTTTTTTTATCTCTACTCATTACCTTTCCTTATAGCACAGCCTGACTGACCATGGTTCTCAATCCTCAGAGCTTTCCATAGTGTACGTAAGTGTCGCCCCAGTCCTCTTCGAGCCAAGAGCTAAACCTGGTGTTGTCATACCAGTCAAACCAGCATGGTGAATGTCCAAGAGGAAATGAAGAACTATTTCTGCAGGACAGTTATCAAGAAAGTGTTGATTCCATGGTAATTTAATTTGAAAATCATATTGGATCCTTTTTTTTTTAGTTCTTTCCTCTCATTTTATACAGATGAAAGCTGATCAGAAGCCTCCCAGTTTCTGTTACATACTCACTGCTTGTCCAGAGCCAGGAGAAGTTGGTATAAAAGTAGAAAACACAATTTCTAATATCTACCGGCCCCCATCCATACATTCCTTAAAAGACATTGTTAAGGTAACGTCTTTGTTTAAAATTCCCTCTCCCTTTTCTTTTCCCCTGTGCCTTTCATACCATTTATCTTACTTGTATCCATCTCTTTAAATGGTGTTTCAGACAGGTGGTCTTGGGGGTCATCGGTGCAGTTTCCAGGCCCAAGTGATATATCAAAGGCTTCAGGTAATCTTTCTTATCTAATAGGCGCCATGCTCAAAAATGTTCTGAATGTGAGGGAAGGTGATTTTATTGAAAAGGAATTTGAATTTTCGGAGATCCATCAGAGCAGTAATGTAGTAACACTTTTCAAAAGAACAACAGAAAATCTTTTAACTCTGTTAAATCACTGGAGTTCAGCCATTTTCTGATACACCAAGCTGCCCAGAAAAGGGAAACAAAGGATAGATAACCTCTTGCCAAATTAGAAATAGTCTTAACCACAGTCTTTGCACAAAGCTATGTCGAAAGAACTATTGACAACCACCACTGGAGTCCATGTGAGTTCCTTAAAATGATTCTTATGAGTGTCAAGCTCTGTCCTGGTCCAGACTGATCTTGTCATCTGTTTACCAGCCACACAACAATATTTCTTTAGACAGCTGGAAGTTGGCTAAAAAAGAGAATATTCTCAGTCAGGCTAGAGATAATATGATCCACATCCTCCTAGAAACCTAATGTTGATCATCACTAAGAAAATAACATTAGTGCTAATCCAGGTCACTTAAGAGTGACTTAAAACTTCCCATTGAAAAAAAAAATTTTTTTTGTTATTTCTTGCCTTCTAAAAAATTATTTTTTTTAGCAGGTAAAACCAACCTCCCTTACTGGTCGAATGTAAACAACTCACATAAGGAAGTAACCACTACAGTTTAGAAAAGAATTATTAGTCTCATAAAAAAAAAACCACTATAACTTTATCTGTTTTATGAACCACTGAGCAAACAAAATAAGACCAGTTTGATTTCTCTGTAGCAGAGAAACCTAATTGAAGGTCAGCTTATCCTTTGGAAATTTCTTTGCGTCTTATGGCCCTCTAAAGCCTCTTTGGTTTCAAATTTACCTAAATTATGCTACCTACCTCCTGACAGAAAGATGATGGACTCAAGAGTGTAGATTGAGACATATATTTTTGGACATGGCCAATTCGGAAATTTGTTTTGCTTGACTCTACATTTTTATAACAGGGGTTTTGTTTTTCTTTCTCATTTGGGGTGGAGGCTAAAGAGGAGAGGTAAGGAAATGGGAGGAAGAAAAGACAGATTTTTTTGTGGATTAAAAAAAATGTAATTTTAAAAATAATCTTCATGAATGAGGTTTGTAAGCATGTTCCTGCCAAACTGATTTATATCAAGTTGACTGCATGAGGAGAGAAGTTTTCATCTTTTAAAAATAAAGAGGGGTAGCTAGGTGGCAAAGTGGATAGAGCTCTGGCCTGGGAGTCAGGAGGACCTGAGTTCAAATGCGACCTCAGACTCTTGACACTTACTAGCTGTGTGACCCTGGGGAAGTCACTTAACCCTGATTGCCTCACCAAAAAGCAAAAAATAAAAATAAAGAGAAAGAAACTTTCAAAAAGGCAAAGACTTTAAAAATCCATTTCTTTGAGTTATTCTGAAAGAGACAATATAGAAAATGCTGTGCATGAATAATTGCCAAAAAAAAATGCTACCTACCTATATGTACTGGCTACCTACATGAAATTCTATGATTCTCTAACTTGTTACACTAGATAATATGGTCCTAGCAGCTTTTTATATAGATAATATGGTCTTATCTAAGACTTGATGATGTGGTCATAGCTGGAGAATTTAGCTAGTAGTTTAAAGGGATTAAATGCCTTTTTTTTTTTGTTCCAAATTATCTCCCTTCCTCCACTCCCTCCTCCACCCATTGAAAAGGCAAGACGCTTTAATTACATTAATATTTCACAATTAGACATCAATACTTTTTTTTTAATCCTTTGTGCATAGTAAGATGCAATAAATATTTGTTGAATGAATATCAGAGAAATCCCTGAAGTGGCCATATGCTGTCCATTGACGATCCCTTAGGAGGGGGAAATCTACTGCTTTGCCACATGCATCTCTTTCTTCTTACTGTCTCCTGTTCTTCCTTTCTGACTTCCCACTTATTTCCCTTATTTCTCTCCTCAGCAAAGCATTCCAATAGAGAACGTCAGCATTTCTTATCACCGCCCTCGGTGGCAATTAAAACTAATTAGGTCAATAACACTGGTGTAGTCAAAAGTCAAAAGAACTTTAGTTTTGTTGTCAGAGAACCTCGACTCCAATCCAGCCTCTGACTCTTATGACCTGTAGAATTCTGGACAATTCACTTAACCTGCTTGGTATTCAGTTTCCTCATCTTTATAATGAAAGGATTGAATCAAATGACCTTGACATCCCTTCTCACTCTAAATCTATGCTCCTCTGACTTCTGAGATATCTTTCAGCTCTAAATCTGTGCTCCTATAATCATTTCCATGGCCTCTTAAATGGCAGAATAACAATCCATAAGACAGTAATGGCAGAGACTTTTCATCTTCTCCTCTCCCCCAAACCACTATTCCCATTCCTCATTTTGACCTATGTTAAAGCTAGTAGGGACCTAAGAAGTCATTTCTTTTAACCTTCTTATTTTACAAATGAGGAAACTGAGAGTCCAATAAGGGATTTGATTTGCTTCTAGGGTCTTTATCTAGTAAGTGCCTGAAAGGTGAGTTGAACCCACTTTAAGCCAGAGATTCTCACACTTCTGTGCCTGGAGCAATATCTACAAATCACCATCAACCATAAAAGCTGTGGGGTTGCTGTGTGACCTCCAAAATCAGTGTAGTGCCCTGACACATTCCAGTCAATAAATTAGAGATCTTGAAAGAGACACAAGGTTGGGCATGAAAGAACCTCATGCACACCAGAGCCAAAATCTGGAGCCCTGATCTAGACCATCTCACGAATGAAATAGCCTCTGAACTAACAAATTCCTTCGTCCCTTTTCTTCAAAGCTTTCCTGAAATCCCATCTCCAGGGAGCCATTTTTTATTAAAAGCTACTCTTTTTAATTCCACCATGTAATAGTGGGCATGGTGCTTTCTAGTCAAAGTTCATTCCAATGTATTAAATTGTTTGATCCTCACTGTCCTTTTAGGTAGGCAGGGCAGGTCTCATATCCTCATATTTCAAATGAGGAGAGGAGTTACAGTAAATGAGAGAACTGGGGAAGAATCCAGGCCTTTTGACTCTCGGCTCATTATACTTTTGAAGAAGCGGTGCTGCCTTGTCACTTTCTCTCTTATGCAGGAATTCTGTTGCAGGTCTTTACATATCTGTGGGGTTGTTTTCTCCCTGTTAAGATTATGAGCTCTTGGAAGGCCAAAACTGCGTCTTATCTATGCTACTCTTTCAAATAAATCCTTCCCCTCACGTTTATTTAAGGGAGAAGTCATGAAAAGCAATGAAGAAAGGGCAGAAGAATGTAAAGAAGAATGAAAAACTATCTTGAGGAAATGACACATATACTTGTGTTCTGTTACTTGGTTATTTCCATGGCTGTTTCAGGTTATTGGACAGTGGTCGTTAAGAACAAAGTTTTGAGTCATTACAAATGGAGCTGAACTGTAAACATTGTCTAGAAAAATGCAGTGAGGAAACTGGCATTAGAACTCTCCCACCCCTCCCCAACAGTGCATATTGGAAAATACCTTGCACTTGGAATTGAAAGATCTAGGTTCAAGTCCCAGCTCTGTAATTTTAAATAGGTTACATTGCCTTGCCTAGCATCCATTTCCTCTCTGTGAAATGGATATTTGTATTGCAGCTCTAAAGAGCCATCTAAATGTAACCTGTTCATTGTTTTAATTATCATTGTAAAAGCATGCTTGCTGTCTGTTGACTGACTCTCTTTCTGTATAAAATGTCATAAGTTGTAACTTGTCTGTCCTTTGTCACAAAGGTTTGTTTTTTACCTTCAACATGTTATAAGGATGGGAATCTAGGTGGTGAAGTGGATAGAGTTCCAGGCCTGGAGCCAGGAAGGCTCATCTTCCTGAGTTCAAATATGGCCTCAGATACTAACTGTGTGACCCTGGGCAAGTCACTTAACCCTGTTCGCCTCAGTTTCCTCATCTGTAAAATGAGCTGGAGAAGGAAATAGCAAACCACTTCAGTATCTTTGCCAAGAAAACCCCAAAAGGGGTCATGAAAAATCAGACATGGCTCAAAAATGACTGAACTGAATGTGTTGTAAAGAGGCTCTTGACTGAACAAACTCATTGATTAGCATCAGGAAAACAAACTACAGATAGTCATTTAAATTTTTTACTTCATAGAGGAAATAAATGTCTTCTCTTCCAAGACCTTTTGAATGCATAATCCTACCAGTAGCTAAAGAGAAAATCAGAGTATCCTTTTTAATTTTTTCATTGCTGTTATTCAGATTAAGAATTCTATTATATGAGGAAAAAAATGATAAATAAATTCCATCTGTGCTGTTTACTGTGCTCTATTGTAACCAGATCCTCCTGTTGTTGTCTTTGGGGCCTCTGTGTTCAGAACAAGTTGACATGATAACTTTACTACTACTTCTGATTAACATTCTTCTTTTGATAACAGTGATTTTTGATCACTGTGCAAATGCTTGCTTTCCTTTTTTTTCCTTTTTCTTTTCTTTGACTAATTCTCTTCTTATATGTTATGTGAGAATAGTGCCTAACACAATGCCTGGCACATAATATATGTGATACTCAGGAGCCCGGTTCCCGTTTCCCTGAAATAGGTTCTCATTTTCCTGAAAAGGCAACAAAATTTGTCTCTGGGACTTGATTGTGCCTCTGCCTCCCTCGATGGGGCAATTTTCTGGTTACCTAAAGGCATAAAAAGTCCCCCCTTGTAGAGTCAAGGCCTCTCTGACTGAGTAAATCACTGAAGACCACAAGTTATCCTATCCTGCCCTGCTGACCAATTTCCATTTGGGGGAAGGGGGTGGGGCCCCACTTCTTTGAGAAGCTAAGTGCTTCTTTTATCTTGATGTGCTGGTTGCCTAGCCTTGCTTGCTAGGGCAAAGTTAACCTCTTTTGTTAACTATTCTATGACTTTCGAGTCCCTGTTTCATCTCAACAACAAACCTAAATGAATAAAAAGTTGGCATTAGGCCTTCTCCTAACTTTTGGTATAGTCAGAGCTTAT